GTCAATCAGTCCACGACCAAAAGGCAAACACAGTTTCTTCATGTGTCTCTCAGCTCCCTGTGCCTCCTCCAGGTCTTCTGGCTCCATCCTGCTTCCTTCTTTCCTCAGTCTCCTGTGCAGCTTCGTTACTCCCTGCTCAGCTCCACCCTCCTTTGGGCGGGACAGGAAACCTGGAAACTCCCCCTTTCCTGGGGACCACCCTGTTACAGTAGGACACTAGATTTATATTGATCTGTGACAAGTTGACTTGGAACAGAGGAATTTCATTCTATTATGTTCTATATTTCTTTTTCTAAAGGCAATGAACTAGTCACAGGAAGGTTTTATTAGTTATTTCAAATTTTGTTTTATGAAATGTCATTGCTCCATTCAAAATTTTGTCTTTTTCTTCCCATAATTTTGTTCAAGTTTCAGGCCTCTTGTACTTGTTTATTTTGTAAAATTTTTATTTATTTATGCATACAAGATGGGGTTGTAGGCCATAGATGCAGAGATACTCTGCTGAGGTTAGCAGTGGGCAAGACTGGAGAGGTCTACTGCACCATGTGGGCCAGCTCCCAGGCTGGGCATGGAACTCATGCCACAGTGGCTGCCAGTAGCTTGATAGTGCTGAGACTTACCCCCTTGCGCCATGAGAGAGGCTCCAGACATCTTCTATCGAAAGCTGAAAGGGTCTGAACTTTGAATTAGTGCCTTATTATTTTCACCATTTTTTTTTATTTTTACCTATAACTATATGAAGCTTGTTGACTAAGCACAATAAATATTTTAAAAATTGAAAAAGGGTAAAATGTGTTCATTTGGACCAACAAATGAATAGGAGCCTCAGTTCAAACTAAAAATTGAAAACCCCTTGATGGAATTCAGGTGATAGGGCTCAGTATAGGGGGGCTTCTTGGATCCCTCTGACAAATAATTGAGTAATGTTACTTTTCACTAGCACGCATCACGTTTATTGAGGAAAAGAGAACAGCAAAGAGAGACGTCTGCATAGGCACAGGCTTCTGAAAGAAAAAAAGCCGCATTTTACCAGGGTAAGGGGCGTTCTTTCATAAGGTCCCTTGATGGAATTATTGTGGAAATTATTGCCTTGGTGTCAGAATGGATTGGTCTTCTAAGTTTGATAATCCTCTCTGCTCCCACCTCTGGCTGATCATCTTTTCTGACCCCACCTTAGTTTGCTGGAACCTTCCATAGTTGGGTTAATAAAGATTTATAAATTGTCCTTACAGTATCTTCCTTTCTCAATTTTTCTATTCCAATAATCCATCACCACACAGTAATAAAACAGAAAACAAAACACAAACAAAAACGAGGTGAGCTTGACATTAACTGACATGCAGGTGCTCTGTCCACCCCTGCTTTACTATCAGGAATGCCATATTTTCACCCTTAAATTTTTTATAACTGTTACAGGGCAGGGAGAGGGGCACCCCAAAACCCCCAAATCTGCCTGCTCTAAATAGGTTCTGCCATCTGCCACATCAAGAAAAAACATAACACCTTTAATGGAAAGGAACTTTAATACAATTAGTAAACAATACAGAAAAGACAAAGAATATAATTTCTAAATTAATCACCCAAAGTTACCCATCCCCTCTGGGCAAAAGTCCAGCCAAATGGGATTGGCCCAGAGCAAGGCCCAAAAGCTGCCACAAAGCACCTTCCAGGGGAACCCATAGGAAAGGGTCAGAAATAGCCAGACAAGTCTGGGAGGAAAAGAACAAAATCAAAATCAAGACAAAAACCGCCATCGTCACCTCCCCCACGGGTCTCTCACCCACATCTGTTTCACCCAGTCGACGACCAAAAGGCAAGCACAGTTTCTTCACATGTCTCCTTGCTCCATGTGTCTCCTCCAGGTCTCCATCTTGCTCTCCACACTGCTTCCTTCCTTCTCCAGTCTCCTGTCCAGCTTTTGTCCTCCCTGCTCAGCTCCACCCTCCCTTGGGTGAGGCAAGACCTGTAACTCCCCCTTTTCCTGGGCACCACCCTGCTACATAACCACAACAGAATGCTTTTTTAAAGGCTTATTTATTTATGCATACAAGATCTGGGTTACAGGCCAGTAGTGGGGGGGGGGCGGAGGGGAGAGGATTCACCAGAGACAGAATGGGGAACAGAACAGGCAGATTGACTGAAATACACTGCTGTGGGGAGCAGTGGGGAACCAGGAGAGGTCTGTTGTGCCACATGGGTAGCTCCCTGGCTGGGGATTGAACTCATGCTGAGTGGCTGCGGACAACTCCACAGGCTGCATGCTAACCCCTTGCACCACCAGGGAGCCCCACAACAGAATTCTTAAGACTGGTTTTAAAAAATATTCTATGGTTACTTTTCACCTGCCAAGGAACAGGGGGCTAATTGAACCACTGATTGCACTAATTTTTTTATTAGCTTTGGTTGGCTGGTTCTGAAACTGAAAAGGAGTTGTGTACATTGTGGAAAATATGAACATTAGAATAAAATACAATGAGGAACAGTGAACTGTGATTTGTTCATCAAAAGAGAAATACTTTTAGTGCTTGCCTGGTGGTACAGGGGTTAAAGTCTCAGCACTGTCAAGCTATTGCCAACCACTGTGACCTGAGTTTGATCCCTGGCCAGGGAGTTGACTCCCAAGGCAGAGCTGACCTCTTCTGTCTCCCTGCTGCTCCCCTCAGCAGTGGATTTCAGTGGATCTACCTGTTGTACTCCCCACTCTGTGTCTGGTGAGTCCTCTTACACGCTGTACCTTTGGCCTACACCCCGTATTTGTATGCATAAATAAATAAATCTTTTTAAAAGAGATAATTTTGTGAGTTAGCTTACTTTTTTCCTCATAATTTTCAGTGTTTTGAACTGTGAACTATAAGACCCATGTGTATGGGCAGAGACTATAAACGTGAAATTGTAGAATTACAAAATGAACTCGCATTAGCTGAGTGAGGAAATGTACAACCACACTATATCATCATCTTCCTCACTAATCTTCCTCACGAATCTGTGTCTGTCATTATAATTATTTTCCTTGCCCTTCATGACAATTCATCACCTAAGTGTGTATCAATAAATGCATACTTAAGACACAATTTTAATTTTGTCTGGTATTGAAGATTTGAATAAATCATATTATGTTTATTTTATATCTGGAATAACAGTATGCCTAAAATTTTATATCTTTATTCCTTTATTTAACATTATAACATACATGTTTTTCAAGTTATTGAAAACTATTCAGAATTATTGTACCTAATTTCTACATTTGCTTTATGTATATAGTGTAATATATTTTAGTGATTCCTGGCGTTTTGATTTAGAGTGTTCCCAAGTATTTGTAGTATAATAAAATGCTGGTTAGCATTTTACAAATAAAGATTTTTATTTGTGTTCAAACTGTTAAAGGGAAGCCCCGATACAAAACAGGGTGCCTGACTGTGGGTCCTCACCCACACGCTTAAAAGGATTTATCAATATTCTACTGCAGGCACACACGAAAGGTTAATAAAAGGTTTATTTACAAGGGAAGGGCAAATGAGGAAATGTACAACTCAGGGAGAAAAGTGGGAGACAAAGTTTTAAATGTGTCCTACCCGATCCGCGGATCTGGAATCCCAAATGGCACTGTGAGTGCTGGCCGCAAGCCAGGAGCCATGAAGCCAGGAGGAGAGGGAGCGAGCACCCCAAGGCCCACGTGTTTGGTTTTGATACCCAACCTGGCTGCTTAACTCCACCCTCAGGTCCCAGCCACCTTCCCTTTGGTGGTGACAGTATTCACCATTCCCAATGTCTTGATGGCTTTGGTCTGGAGGGGGGTGGAGTCCACAAAGCCTGCATGGAATTAGCTCAGGACATCCTTTCCCCCTGACAAAATCATTTCCTTAGGTCATTTCCCAATTACTATTGGGAATTACTATTGAATTACTATTTCTTTTAATACATACACATATAGATAATATTCCAGATTCTGATATCTAAATTCAAATTTCCCCAGCAAAAGGGTGATACCAATTTGTTCTCTTCTCCGAAAGAGCGAGAATCCCGATTTCAGCGGGTTCTTATCTCCATGTCATTCTGTCTCCCCATCTTCAAGGCTCTGACGTCACACCGGCACACACTCCTGCTTCCTGCTCCCCCTCTGCGTGGGCCTTCCCCCCCCCGACTCTCCGCAGCTGCATCTCCCCCTCGCCCGGGCGACCCGCCCCTTGGCCGCGGCTCTGGCCCCCAACCCCACCCCGCGCCTCCCGCCTGCCCTGGAGCCTCCGCTCACCATTACCCCGCCTCGGCCGCACCGCCCCTCCGCGCCACCAGGCGGCGCGCGCCACGGCTCCAGCCCTGGTTTCCCCTGAGAGCCTCTCCTTCCTCGACCTCGCCCCGCCCCCTGCGTGTTGACGTCAGGGCACTGCGCGCTGACGCGGGAGCGGCCGTGGGGGCGGAACTGGTGGAGACGCGAAAGCCGGGAGCGCCCGCCCCGGCGGAGCGGGCCCGCGGGCAGAGGAAGGAGAAGTCCTGGGGGCAGCGCGCAGGGGTGAGGGGCGCGCGCGCCGCCTGGTGGCGAGGCGGGGAAGTGCGGCCTCGCGGGGAATCGTGAGGAGGCGCCGGGAGGGAAAGGCCGGGCAGGCGGAGCGGGACGCCCCTTCTCTCACTGTGGGGTGAGCAGCGGGTTTTGGGGGCCCTCTGTGGTGGCGGGTCTTTAAAGCACATGGACGCGATTTGCTGTTGTAATGACGTGTGGACATTTTGGGTTAGTAGTATTTTCAGAGATGTGGGAGATTCGCTGCATTTCGGTTTGATTTTCTAAACTTCAGCTGCAGCAGGACCGGCGGCCGCGGGCCCGTGAGCACCCGGGGCTGTTCCGCTGGCCTCTGCCCCCACATCCCCACCCTGTACACCCGCACCCACAGCCCTGCTCCCCGCCCCTGCAGCCCTGCTCCAACCACCTGCAGCCCCACCCCACACGCCTGCTGCCGCTCCCGGCCCTGCACCTGCAGCCCTGCTCCCCGCCCCTGCAGCCCCTCGCCTACACGTGGCTCCTGCCTGTTCAGCTGCTGGGCTCGCCTTGGCACTTGCTTCCCAGGACTCAGGGTGAAGTTCTTGCCTAGGGGAACCTGGTTTCTTCAGGAACCACCCCAAAGCGAGGGGAAGGCGAGGACAACTCCCTGCAGGTGGCTGACTGCAGAGCGGTGAGTCAGGGGACCCAGGGCTGGGCGGGCTGGCTGTGGAGAGCTCTGCGCAGGTCATTTTGTGTCCTGGAGGAACATGGGGGTCAGGTCATTCCTGAGTGTGACCCTGTGGGTGCCCAGCGCCCCTGAATGAAAATGTGTCCCCCGTGTTTGCTCCTGGTTCGGCCCTGCTACACTAGGAGGATCCCCCCAGGGTGGGTTTTCTGGGTTCTCCACTCTGTTCCATTGATCTGTGTGTTTTATTTCTGTAGACTTATAATTTGGGGAACGTATTGTAAACTTTTCTGGGGCTGACATCACCTTCCCCAGATCTAGCAGGCAGGAGGGCAAAGCTGTGACCCAGTCTCCCCGAGGTGCAGGTTCTGACCCAGTGGGTTGCATGGTGCCTGGGGCTCTGCATATCTCATGGGGTCTGAGAGGCTGCCCATGCTGGTTCTGGGCCCACATCTGAGGTCTGAGGTGTCACTTACTGTTGTGCAGCTGATGTGGCCATTGAGAGCCTGGAAGAGGGAACTTTGACACCTGGAAACAGCCTCAGGAGGCAACTTTAGACTCTCTTTGAATAGAATCCAGACTTTCCTGAGCCTTGAATGACCAAGAGCCACACGGCTGCCACACTCTGGCTACAATGTTTGGTTTTCAAAAATGGGTTTGTAGTCACCGATTCACTGTACTGAAACCTGTGACCGTCACTATGTGACTAAAGGACACACCCGAGATTCCCACAGCAGGGTCAGCTGGCTGCTATCCCCAATGGGGACGGAAAGTTTCTACATGGGGAATCATCTGAGACACTGAAGGGCCCTTTTCTAAGCTCTGGAGATCTTTTCTCTACTTATGCCTGGCACTAAGAGGATCCCTCCCATTTTAGAAAGTGAATAATCCACAATCACTCATTCACCTGGGAAGTGGACATTTTGTGGATTATCTACTTACTTTTTAATATTTAGAATCTGTTGAACTGATATTACCTCCTCCGTTGTAAAACCTTTCATGCTTGCTTTGAACTCTTCAGGGTAGGAGAAAGAAATTGATGTTTGTTGAGCACCTGCTGGACATTACCTGACCCTGTGCAACAAGTTCATTACTTAAGTTATGTGATCTCATTGATGGCACTATAGAGATATTATTCCTACTCCATAGTTGAAAATCCTAAGGTCCAAAAGAGACCAGGAACCTGTTTTAAGATCATACAAATATGGACAAGGATCAGGGATTTTGGCCTCCATATTTTTGTCCGAGTCAGAGATTGTCAAATGAGGCTATACCGTAAACCCCCTCAACTCCAGGGGAGGGAGGCATGTGGGTGACCCTGTCCACACTCAGAACAACTCCATGGGTGTTGGGCTTCCTCCTTCATAAGGAAGGAGCCTCAGGTTAAAACAAAAAGTTTAATGTGTCATTGTGTTACATGCAGATGCTGTCTTTAATGTTGCACATGATTTACTTAATAGTTTTAGAAGTAGCTCTAATCCCAAAGGTGATTGCTACTTGTAACACACCGCATTTCAACATAGACTTTTCTGTAATTATTCCCATACAGCAGGCTTAGCTGCTGTACCTACCAGAGGGAATTCCTGCACATCTAGAACAATTGATAAGAAGTGATGCCTCAGCAGTGCCTGCAGGATATTGAGGATAAGACCCCCCCTTTCATTGTTAATGTTTAGATCTGTCTCATCTATACAAGTGGGAAACATACTAGAAGCAGTGACTAGTGTCCTCAGGATGTTGGTGTTCGTGGTGATTGTTTTGTTATTCATGTTCTTTCTGTTGACAAGTTTATCAGTGAACTTGTGTCATTTTGTGATTAGATTTAAAAAAAGGTTATTTACATAGTTCTAAAGTTTAGATTCTTGCCTATCGCTCTCAGTAATTATCTTTCAGTATTGGAGAGCACACATCCATTCTCTGAAATGATCTTGATTATTTTTGTCATTACAATGGACCGAATGTAAAGTTGAGTGTAAAGATGTATATGTCCTACTTTAAAAAAAATGCCCTGGAGATCGAGGCAGCTCTCCTGCCTGCCTGTGACTGTGCAGGTGTTTCTTTTCACAAACCTTTTGCGTTTGCAGCTCTTTCTGCCCGCTGGTGTCTGTGCACTGTCCTTTACTTACCTTCACTTTTGTCGCAAAGTACAAAAAAATTCTCTGGAGTTGAAAATAGGTCTATTTCATCGTGATACATGTTCTTAAGCATTCTGTGACAAGCGTTTCTCCATCCAAGCACAGGCTGTGATCGCCTCCCATCTTTATTAGGTTTGCCATAGTGGGCATAGGGCCAGCTCCAAACAGCAGCCTTAGCAAAATAAATTTCTTTGCTTTAATAGGTGTACTTACACTGCAAAAAATGAAAGGTGGTACAGGCATACCTTGATGATATTGTTGGTTCAAATCCAGAATACCACAACAAACCTAACATTGCATAAATCAAGTCACTACTTTTTGTTGGTTTCCTGGTGTGAATAAAAATTGTTAGCTCTATAGTGTAGTCTATTAAGTGTGCAATAGTATTTTGTCTAATGAGAAAATACCCTAATTACATATCACCAAGACATGAAGTGAGCATATACTTATGGGAAAATAGCGCTGCTGGACTTGCTCCAGTCCAGGTTGTCACACACCTTCAATCTGTGAAAAGCAGTATCTGATAAAGCAAAGCAAGCACGATGGGGTGTGCCTTGATGGACACTTCTGGGAATGATCCTTTGGGTTTTAATAAAGTATACACATCTGGATAAGTGGACTTCAATTTAATGATGATGTCTGTACATAACTATTTTTTCAGCAGCTATGTCAGCATGGGAGGGTGTGTATTTTTTTAAGATTTATTCATTTATGCATACAAGAACTGGGGCACAGCCCTGATGTGTGGGGGGGTGAGAGGGCCCACCAAAGACAGAGCAGGGAACAAAACAGGCAGACCGACTGAAACACACTGCTGAGGGGAGCAGTGGGCTAACCAGGAGAGTTTGCCACACCATGTGGGCTACTCCCTGGCAGGCAGGGGGAATCGAACTCATGCTGCAGTGGCTGCAGAGAGCCTCATAGTCTGCGTCTCAACCCATTGCGCCACCAGGGAGGCCCGGGAGGGTGTATATTCTTTTCCATGATAGAAAGTACTATGAACACTCAAGGTAGTGAACAAGGGTTAGCTAAGTGCCTGCGGTCCGCCAGGGACTGGGCTATACACACAGCCTCTTTAAAATTCATTGTGGTCCTTTAAAAATGTCAAAAACTTATAGCTATCGTTGGTTGAATCTCAGTTGTAAGTAGAAAATAGGGAGTTTAGTTTTTATTATGCTATTGAACAGCTGCAGAGGAAACACATATGACTTGACTTCTTCCCCAGCCTGTAAATGCATGTGTCTGCATTGAAGTAGCCAGTGCTCCCTGCCACCACACTCTGAACCTTTTGCTCCCCAAACTAGACATCACTGTCCACATTTGGGATCATGGTAACATCGCCGTGCTTTATTGCTTTGAATTGTTGGTGTTTTTAAAGATTTATTTTTATTTATTTATGCATTTGTATTTATTTATGCATACAAGAACTCTACCGATTTCTAATTCAAAGTTTGTTTTTCTTTTTGTTTAAATATTTTATTTACTTTTGTGTAGAAGACCTGGGGTGCAGTCAGAGGTGTCGGGTGATGAGAGGATTTACCAGAGACAGAGTGGGGAGCAGAGCAGAGGGATCTAGTGAAATACACTGCTCAGGGGAGCAGTGGGTAATACAGGAGTGGTCTGCGGTGCCCTATGTGGATTAGCTCCCTGGCCAGGGGTCTAACTTAGGCTGTATTGTGGGCCATTGTGGTGATAGTGCTGAGACTTAAGCCCTAGTCTACCAGGGAGGTCCTCAAAGTTTGTGCTATTGCTTGGACATCCTCAGTGGCCATTTTGTTCTGGTGGGTTTAGTGAACCTCCTCTACTGTTTGTTCCCAATATTTGGTGTTGAGTTTTCATGGTTTCCACACTGTGGAAAATAAGCTAAGGTCATACATGTAACAACACCAAAAGTAGCCTTTCACTTGAGACTGCAGGTAATTAATTTTATAGAACAACTTGTAGGGTGTTTATTTATCCTTAGTGTACATTGGAAAGATTGTGACATTTGCAGTGACAGGTGCCGGTTTTCCTTAAGAACTGGAAGAGAACAAGAAGAACATTTACAGGGGCCTCCCAGTGGCGCAGTGGCTTGAGCGCCACGCTGTGAAGCTGTCTGCAGCTTCTGCAGTGTGGGTTCGATCCCTGGCCAGCCAGGGAGCAACCCACAGGGTGAAGCCGACCTCTCCTGCCTTGCCTGCTGCTCCCCTCAGCAGTGTCTTTGATCCGTCTGCCTGTTCTGCTCCCCGCTCTGTCCCTGGTGAATTCTCTCACCCTCCCGTGCCTCTGACTCCACCCCAGTTCTTGTATAAATAAATCTTTGTTTTTCGTGGTACCCTCCCCGGCGGCCGGGGAATGAACTGGCGCTGCAGAGGCTGTGGGCAGCCTCACAGCCCAGCGCTTAACCGCAGAGCCACCAGGGGAGGCCCCAAATAAATCTTTTTTAAAAAGATTTATTTATTTATTTATTTATTTATTTATTTATTTATTTAAGATCCAGGGTACAGACCAGATGCGTGGGACGGTGAGAGGATTCACTAGAGCCAGAGCGGGGAACAGAACAGGCAGACTGATGAAATACACTGCTGAGGGGAGCAGCGGGTGACACAGGAAAGGTCTGCCGCGCCATGTGGGACCCTCACCGACTGGCCGGGATTGAACCGGCACTGCAGTGGCTGCAGACAGCTTCCCAGCGTGGCACTCAACTGCCTGCGCCACCAGGGGAGGCCCCTAAATCAATCTTTTTTAAAAAGAAGAATCTTTACAATTTAAAGATCATAGTTTTTGTATTGAGAATTTTTATGTGAACGAAGCAGGCTGAGGTCTGAGTATCCCTAACATACCAATGCTGTGCTCATGTTCCGGGAAGACAGTCTCTTCTGTGAGCAGGGTATCTGGGTGTTTCTGCTGAAATGAATAAATCTTATGTGATCTTATGGGAACCACAGATAATTAATGGATATGTAGAAGGTACCTTAGTTAAGACTGCAGGGAAATAATCAAGGGTTCAAACGAGTGGCCATCGTGTACGGTTCCCTTAAATGTCTATGAATGAAACCTTGTGGTTTTGTATCACTAATCAGGGATGAGGAAGGTTGTGGCTTCCACCCCAGGCCGCCAAAACTGCTACAGCCAATGCGCTCATGAACAAAAGGGCACTGAGAAGCCGGTGTCTTGTCTTATATGCCTTCCTGTGTAGAACTCAGAACCCCAAAGAAAACTGAGGTGAGTGTCTGAGTTGATGCTTGTTGAGCAGCAGACCAGGTCAGGTTGCCAAGGAGCAGCCCTTCAGCCGTGTTCCTCTTACACCTGGGAATCACAGAGCTGTAAGCATGAGGCAGCTTTGGAGCTGCAGCTGCCTAGTCCTTTTCCTGTCAGAATCACATCTGATAATCACATTATTTACTCTCTCAATGAAATCTTTTTGAAGTGTATTGCCTACCATGCAGAAACTCTTTACCATGATAGGAAGGTGAGTGTGTACCTTGATTCTTCCAGCTTCTCAATAGATCAGGTGGGCACTGCTGACGCCTCTCCCCTGAGGCGGGCACTGCTGACGCTTCTCCACTTCCTAGTCCTGCCAGTTGCTCTTCCTGCTATTTTCTCAGGCTGTCTCCAGATTATGCTGACTAAACACGAGTTTTTTCTTTCATTAGGTGCGGCGGGCTGTGCTACCCATGCTGTCTCTTGACAAGGTCTGGGCATTGGGGGAGACTCCCGAGAAGAGGGGAGTTCCTGCACTTCCCAGAAGACCTGAACTAGGGAGTCTCCATGGCAACGCCTGCTAATGCTCTCCTGTCTGTTCTTGGTTAATGCAGAAGTAAGTTAGTTATAAATTGGCTTGTAAAAACCTAATTCAGACCTAGGCGATAATTGGTTTATTGTTCTTACGCTCGAATCATTACTAAAGAAAGTAAAAAATGCTAAAGGTATAGTCAGGAAAGAAACGTTTTGGCACTGAGAATTATGGAGAACAAGCTGCCCTGAACCAGCTGTGCTTGGAAACCGTAGCCTAACCCAGGGGGTATGTGTTTGCGGCAGCAGTACATTTCCTGGTGTGTGCAAAGGGTCAGTAGTTCGCAGGCTGTGTGGAGGTTAGGTATTTATAGTGGAGAGTTAGACTTCCGTAGAACTAACATAGATTTGATGAGTTGCTTTAGGCCACTTTGAAGTAATTGATAAATTAGCCAGGTTAATCGAGTGCTAAGGAGATAGGTTGATTTCAGTAATAGAATATAGACTAGGGCTTTCACGCCCACTCCAAAACTAGGAAAGTTTAGTAGAATGATTGTCACCAAATGTTGTGCTGTCTGAAATAACTGATCATGTTAGAAAAAGAGCTGGACTAAGAAAAGTAAATGTCCCTGATGTTTTTTAAGGCAACCAAAGAAATGCCCTTTTGGTATGAGACCAAGGGAGTCTCTGTGTGTTCATGAGAAAATATGTAATGATTGTCTTTGTTCTGCTTCAATGCTTATGTTGATGTAATCTCACCGCTTGCCTGACTGTATAAATAAAGACCCTCTGAGACCCTCAGCAGGAGATACTTGCACCAGAGAGAGTGTCTGTGTCTACTTCACTCCACTTCCCCTCAACCCCCCAAGTTTTCGCCGATGCCATTCTCTCCTTTCAGGGACTCCTGACACGACATTCAGCAGGAGCGGGTCTCCAGAAATTAGGCCCCATGTGTCTTCTCCTTCCTCACTTGCTTGGGATGCTACAAGGATACAGAAGTACCTTCCTCCAATACGACATGTTCTATCATCAAGACATTCTCAGTGGTGTCAGTAGCGACTGGAATAGGGAGCAAACTGATTGTTGGAGACACAGGAAAAGTTTTATGTGTGTGTGGGGGGGGGTATGTATACATATAGTGCATCCACAGATAATTACCTGTGGTATTAAAATTTCATGATTAGGGAAAAAACCTCTTTTTATTTCTTTACCCTTTTTATTTTCCTTCCTAAACTTTAAGATAGTTTAATTTCATTTTCATTTGCTAGTATACTGAGCTAATGTTCCTTTTTGAGAGTCTAAAGTATTTATTGCTTATACATAATGGAACTCTTTGTGTCCTTGTGTAACAGGGTGGTCCCCAGGAAAGGGGGAGGTTCCCTGCCCCACCCAAGGGAGGGTGGAGCTGAGCAGGGAGAGGAGAAGCTGCAGAAGAGACTGAGGAAGGAAGCAGGATGGAGCCAGAAGGAGCCTGGAGGAGGCACATGGAGCCTAGAGACACGTGAAGAAACTGCGCTTGTCTTTTGGTTGTGGACGGGGTGACACAGATGTGGGTGAGACCCGTGGGGAGGTGACCATGGCAGCTTTTATCTTGATGTTGATTTTGCTCTTTTCCTTCCGGGCTTGTCTGGTTGTTTCTGACCCTTTTCTGTGGGTCCCCACTGGAAGAGGCTTTAGACTGTGGCAGGCTTTGGGGCCTTGTTGTGGGCCGATCCCATATGGATGGACTTTTACCCACGAGGGGATGGGTGCTTCATTTAGAAACTAGACTCCTTGCCTTACCTGTGTTGTTTCCTAGTTTTATTAAAGTTCCTTCCCATTAAAGTCTCCTATGTTTTGTGTTGATGCCCTGTAACACTTGGTTCTAGTGCGAAGGTGGCATCAACATCTTGAAGCAGACGGATGGAGAGACGGAATGAAGTGTTGGCGGGGGTGAGGTGAACTATGTGCTGTATTTCATTCCTGAGGAGAGGACACCTGCTCCACCCTTCTGCAGAGAACTGTGAGCTTAGACTATTTCTGCTGCCTGTTCTAGTAATTGTCTATTTTTGGGAAACGACCTAAGGAAATGCTGGAAACACTGATACAATCTACGTATAAAACTGCTGACCAACACCTGCTTTATAGCAACAAGTGTCTGGAAACATCTGCATGAAAACCCTCGGGAACGGGTGAATAATCGCTGTATGTCCATCTGATGACGGGCAGCAGTTCGAGGGGGACCCGGACTGGGGGGCAGAGGAACGCTGGGGGTCCTGGGGGGACAAAGGCACAGAAACGGCGGAGGCGCCCCCTGGCGGGGAGGCCGTGAAGCGGCGCCGCGGAGAGTGTGATGGCGGCGTCCGAGCGGGGACGGGCTTGGCGCGGGGAGGAGGAGCGGGCGGGGAGGAGGAGCGGGCGGGGCGGGGCGGGGACGGGCAGGGAAGGCGGGGCGGGGATGGGGAGCAGGCAGGGCGGGAAGGGGCGAGGGAGGGTGGAGCGGCCGTGGTGAGCGCGGGGGGGGGCGGGGGGGGGGGGGCCGGCGAGAAGCGAAGCCGGCGACCAGGCGGCGCCAAGGCCGAGGCGCGGGGGGACGCGGCGGCCGGGTCCGCGGGAAGGAGCCGGGGGCGCAGGAGGGCGCGGGGCGGGGAGCGGCCTGGGGCGGGCGGCGGGGCGGGGCGCGGGGAGCAGGGGGGCGGCGCCCAGGAGGGCGTGAGGGAGGCGCAGGCGCGAGTCTTTCACTCCAGATAGACGCGTCTCGCCTTTCAGGGGCGCCCGCGGCTCTGGGGACATTATTTTGGGGAAGACGCGGCCTCTGGCCCCAGGTCACTGAACCCTGGAATGCCGGCCCGGCGGGCGTGGCCACGCGAGCGCCCAGGTGTGTCTGGGCTGCTCACCTGCCCGCCCACCTGCCCGCCTGCGCGCCCACCTGATGCCCAGCTGCCCGCCCCCCTGACGCCCCCTGCCCGCCCCCCTGCCCGCCCCCTGACGCCCCCCTGCCGCCCCCTGCCCGCCCTGGCTGCGCGCGGCTCCCTCAGGCGTCCCTGGCGTCCTGGGCCGCGAGGAGGTCGGCACTGCGGGTCGCGCCCCTCAGGACCCCGCGGGCCCAGGCGCGTCGCGGGAGGACGAGGTGAGCCGGGGGAGGGCGGGCGGGAGGGCGAGCGCATCTCCCTGGGCGGCTGACGGGAGGGGCCCGGTCAGAGGACGGGGGCTGGTGAGGACAACTGGGTGTCTTTGGGGTTCAGTTTTGAGCACGGAGTCACCTAGGGGGTCAGTTTCATGCCTGAGGGGACCCCCTGACGGCCATGGGTCCCCCGAGTTTGCTCCCGGCTCCTCGAGGCCGCGCCTGGGGGTTCTGGGCGCTGCTCTGCCCCGGGCCGCGCGGCTGCTACTGTGGGTGATGGTGTCCTTGGGGCAGACTGAGGTTTTCTGGGGTGACCCCCCCCTCCCCGGGCCTAGCAGGCAGGAGGGAAGCCCCGGCCCGACCCCCAGTCTGAGCAGCCCGACCCGCCCCGGCCTCGCCGGCAGGGAGGCGGCTCCTCGACCCCGAGCCCTGGAGGCCCCTGAGGAGGCTTAACCCGCGGCCTGGGCCCCTCGGGGCTTCTCGGAGGCGGAGGCTGCACCCCGTCAGCGCCTCCAGGGAGGGGCTCGGGCCTGGGGCGAGCAGACGCCCCTGTGAGGACAGCGTTCTTGTTATGCACCCACCCCCCAGGGCTTTCGCACCTGAGGTTCCGTCCTTTGTGTGAAAGAATATTCTCAGGGGACCCTTCCCAGGTACTGTCTGTAATGCGCCCCCGTACATTGACCGCAGTTCCAGCCTTTTATTCGTGACACCTGTCTCTACCTGAGATGATTCCCCCAACCTCATCCCTTTTACCTCCTTGCCCTTCCCCGCCCTCTGAAGCTCAACCTCACTGTTTATTAGCAGGTGCGGCTTTTATTAGTAATTAGCTTTATGGATTTGTTTGCTATGGAAGCTTCCAGTGTTTCTCTCGGTCATTCTATCTGGCTTTACCGCACACGATTGCCTCAGACTCCGTCCATGTTGCTGTAAATGGTAACCTTTCATGGTTTTACGCCGACTTGTAGTCTGTAGTGTGGATCGACCACATCTTGATCCAATGCTCTGTCAGTGAGCACTCAGGGTTTTTTTTTTCTTTGCATGTAACTGTGGTACAGGCCAGAGGTGCAGGGGTGTGTGTGAGAGGATTCACCAGAGATGCAGTGGGGAGCAGGGCAGGTGGATCTAACTGCAATCCACTGTTGAGGGGAGCAGTGGGGAGACAGGGTGGGTCTGCTGCGCCATGTGGGTCAGCTCCCTGGCCGGGGATGAAACTACGGCCTTAGTCATGATAGCCCTGATACTTAACCCCTAGGTCACCAGGAAGCCCTGCTTGTTACCGTTTTTTAGTGATAATCTGGCTGTAAACGTGTGGAGGAGGTTGCCTGGCATTCCCTGTGCCTTCCAGATTCCTTTCTCATGTTGATGTGTGTTGTCAATGTGTCAGATCCATGTGCAATTTTTTTCATTGTTATAAATTCTACATAATATTTACCACTAAATATATTTTGTTAAGCCAGGCATGTTATGGTATCAACTACATTGACATCGTTGCACAAATACCCCACCATCCTGGTCTAGAATGTTTCATTCCCCCTGTTAAACAAAGCTCCCCATTCCTCTTCACCTCATCCCCTAGCAACCACATTCTACTGCTGTCTCTGAATTTGACTGCTCTGGACCCCTAATAGAAATGGAATTATACCCTGTTAGTCCATTTGTGTCTTACTTAACGTAATGACTTTAAGGTTCCTACAGTTGTAGCATGTATCAGAGTTTGGTTCATTTTTTAAAAAAATATTTTATTTTATAGAATTCTTACATCATTTTTCATTTTTACACAACGTATGCATTTTAATTTTGGTTATATTCCCCATACAATTTCACCCCCCTTATTTTGACCCTAGTCCTTCCTCTCCCCGCTCTTCCACCGCCCCTGTAGTGTGTCTCTGGTTTATAGATGCTTGTTGATGTTAATTTTTACTTTGTGTTAATTAGTCTTTTTCCTGGTCCCTTATTTAGGTTTTCTAAATTCCTGCTATGAGTGAGACCATCCGGTATTTTTCTTTTTCTTTCTGACTTATTTCGCTGAGGACGATTCCTTCTAGCTCCATCCATGTTGCTGCAAACTGCATGTGTTTATCTTTTTGAGTGCTGAGTAATATTCCATTGTGTATATGGACCACATCTTCTTGATCCAGTCATCTGGATCCAGTCATCTGGGTTGTTTCCATAGCTTAGCTATTGTAAACAGTGCTGCTATAAACATAGGGATGCCGGTGCCCTTTGGAAGTAATGTTTCCGTGTCATTTGGGTAAATGCCTAGGAGTGGAATTGCTGGATCATATGGAAGCTCTATCTTTAGTAGGTTGAGGAATCTCCACACAGCTCTCCATAGTGGTTTGACCAGTTTGCACTCCCACCAGCAATGCAGGAGAGTTCCTTTTTCTCCACATCCTCACCAACAGTTGTTGTTGCTAGTTTTTTTATGTGCCGTTCTCACTGGTGTAAGATGGTATCTCATGGTAGTTTTTGTACCAAATGCAAATGAGATTTGCATTTCCCTGATTACAAGTGATGTTGAACATTTTTCATATGCCTATTGGCCATTTGTATTTCCTCTTCAGAGAAGTTTCTTTTTAGCTCTTCTGCCCATTTTTTGACTGGATTATTTTTTTTGTTTGTTTTTATTGAGCCTCATCAACTCTTTGTGGATTTTTGTGATCAGTCCTTTATCATTAGTGTTGTGTGCAAAAATGTTCTCCCAGTTGGTGGGTGTCTCTTTGTTTTGGTTATTGTCTCTTTCGTTGTGCAGAAGCTCTTTAATTTGATGTAGTCCCAGCTGTTGATCTTTACCTTCACTGTCACTGCTTTGGGTGATGTGTCTGTAAAGATGTCTTTGTGGTGCATGTCACGTAGTGTTTTGCCTGTATTTACTTCTATGTATTTTATGGTTTCAGGTCTTATGTCTCGTTCTTTAATCCATTTTGAGTTGGTTTTTGTGCATGGTGTGAAGTAATAGTCAAGCTTCATTCTTTTGCATGTAGTGACCCAGTTTTCCCAGCACCATTTATTGAACAAACTTTCCTTGCTCCAGTGCATATTCTTTGCTCCTTTGTCAAAGTATAGTTGACCATAAATCTGTGGATTTATTTCTGGATTTTCTATTCAATTCCATTGGTCTGTGTGTCTCTGCTTGTTCCAATACCATGCAGTTTTGGTGATTATGGCTTTGTAGTGTAGTTTGAAGACCGGGAGTGTGATGCCTCCATTCCCTTCTTTTAATTTTTTCAGGAGAGCTTTGGCTATTTGGGGTTTTTGGTGATTCCATATGAGTTTCATCAATAATTGTTCTATTTCTTTGAAGAATGTCATTGAAATTTTTATTGGACTAGCATTGAATCTGTATATTGCTTTTGGTAGGATGGCAATTTTAGTAATGTTAATTCTTCCAATCCATTAGCAGGGGATGTCTTTCCATTTCTTTGTGTCTTCTTCTATTTCTTTTAACAGTGTTTTATGTGTTTTCTTTGTATAGATCCTTTACCTCTTTTGTTAGATTTATTCCCAAGTTTTGATTTTTTTTTGTTTCAGTAATAAAAGGGATTTTTTTATTTCTTCTTCAGATTTATTGTTTGTGTATAGGAAGGCTACTGATTTTTGCGTGTTGATTTTGTATCCTGCCACTTTACTAAACTGATTGATTAGTTGAATTAGTTTTCCTGTGGAGTTTTTGGGGTTCTCTATGTATATTATCATATCATCTGTGAATAGTGATAGTTTAACTTCTTTTCCTATTTGGATTCCTTGTATGTCTTTCTCTTGTCTTATTGCTCTGGCTGGGACTCCTAGTATTATATTGAAAAGCAGTGGTGAGAGTGGACATCCTTGTCTTGTTCCAGATCTTAATGGAAATGCTTTCAGCTTTTTGCCATTGAGAATGTTACTGGCTGTTGGCTTGTCATATATGGCCTTTATGATGTTGAGGTATGTTCCTTGTATCCCAAGAATTTCAAGGGCTTTTATCATGAATGGGTGTTGTACTTTGTCGAAAGCTTTTTCGGCATCTATTGAT